TTATCGATAACTGTACTGCACACAACTCAATCCCTCCAATGGAAAATGTGGAAGTAATTTTTTTTCCTGCCAACATGACTTCGGTTATCCAGCCCATGGACAAGGGAGTCATCAAAAATCTTAAGCATTTTTACAGACGGTTTCTAGTTGAGAACATATTGACAGGAGATTCCGAAGCCCTTAAAATCAAACTAGACGTTCTTCAAGCCTCTCGATTGTGTAAGAAAGCTTGGGACCAAGTAACGTCCGAAACGATCAAACACTGTTTTAAAAAAGCTGGTTTCGTAAAAAAGGAGGAGGATGAAGAAAATGCAGATGATATTATAGCGGAAACGATGCCTTCAGTTGACGGCTGGGAGGACGTCATTTCTAATCCTACCATCTCGTATGACGATTTCTTAAACGTGGATGACGATGTTGCAGTATGTGGTGAGATAACCGACGCAGATATCATCGCTGAAGTGCTCAACCACAACATTGAAAAACAAGACGGCGACGAGGCATCGGGTGATGAATCAGTTGCCGGGGAAATGAACGTTCCAAGTGCGGCCGAAGCAACGAACTATATCATGCAACTTAGACGCTTTTTTGAAAGTAAAAATGACGTAAGTCCCTCTATTTTCCACTCGTTGAATATGTTAGAATCCTTTGTCCTTACTGAAAGACTTAATTCTAGAAAACAGGCTAAGATTTCTGACTTCTTTGGCAAAAATTAAATTTCAGAGTTCCAACGAAGCAGAATAATCTGTACATTTTTTAAACCAGCAATCTGCCTTTTTTTTTTTACATTAATACATCAGTTTTGAAATTTTTTAATATGTATATAGTATATACATACAATTATTGCACATAATCTAAATATACGGTAAAAATGTAAATTTACAGCAACTAATGTTATTCTTAATAAAGGAATTGATCGAAATTGTGAGATTTTTATTGTTTTAAGCCTTTTTATTCAAAACATCTTTAATTCGAATTTTTGGATAATTCGAATTTTTTTATGGTCCCTTGGGGTTCGAATTATCCAAGTTCGACTGTATTATGTATATTTTTTGTAATAAATAAACATATTGCGCAAAAGGGTTTTTGATATTTTATGAAAATAGATCGCAATTTTCGTATATCTGTATTTATAAAATATCAAAAACCTCTTGCGCAATAGGTTTATTTATTGCAAAAAATATACACAAAATGAGTCGCGGAAGAATAAAATTTATGTACTTAAAGGCATCTTTTTCCAAAACTGGTGTTTTGTGCTTTTTCTTCATCATCATTGGTTAAGCCTTTTACTAGGATGAAGTACATAGCAATGTTCTGGTGTATAACTAAAGGGAAAGATGCCTCTTATGGTAGATATGGTACAGCGGAACACTGTGGGTTCGATTCCCCTTCCCTGGACACTTTATTTTTCCGTTTACCATTAATTCTTCACAATTCATCTTTTCATACATCATCCCTAAGGTTAGAAATAATCGTTTTTTTTTTTTTTCTCCTTAAAACAAATATCGATTTTTCGTTCAAAAGAAACACATGCGGGATAATTTTCAAATGTCGTCATACATATTTTAAATTGCGACATATCTAGAGCAGCCTGGCCACGAGAAAACGTGAACTCGTGAAATGTGTTTATATTTATTTTATTTTATATTTTATTCTCTATCTTCGTTGGTGTATATAAATAATAATTTACATTTATATATATATTCTTTTTCTCTCAATTTACAGCTTGGCCTGTTGAAGGATCGATAAGATCCGAAAGCTAGCATATTAAAAAATTTTATGTATAAAGAGACGCATTGCTATCGTTTGTTTTTATTTAATAATTTATAGCAATTCTTTTGTCTATTGTATATTCTAATGAGCTAACCTATAGGATATATTAAAATATAATTTTCTTTAACTTTGAAAAAACGATACCTGTTCAGCGTTTAAAAATAAAAGTAAGAATTAAAATACTTTTTTATAGGTGAAACTAATTTGAAAACTAATTAATGAATCGGGTATCATAAAATAAAGATGCACGTCTTAAATATCAGAAGATACTTTTATATTTAAAGAGATACAGATGAAGTTTTGGCTTGAAAGATATTTTATGATGGTTAAATCTTTTTCTTTACTTTTTTACTTAACCATAAATATTAAGCTGAAGTCGTTTGCTGATAAATTTCTTTAAAAGATTTAGAGAATCCATAAAATTTGCTTCCATATACCTTACCAGTAGGAAACTTATACAGAATTTTAAAACTTCATCGTCTGTTTTGTTTTATTTTTAAAACTCTCTAAAAATGTACGTTTATTATCAATTTTTATCTTTATAAAGAAACATTAAAAAAATATTATGGGGTATATATTTTTCTAAATATATATAATTTGCATAAATATATCATTTTGAGCACATTTTGTGATAAAATAAATTAGTAGTTAAAATAAAAATTATGTACGAGTATAAATAATTATTTTGTTTGTTAAAGTTTTGAAAATAGATATTACAAATTTAAATTAATCATAGTGAAATTAAATAAATTATTTTTGATATTTCAAGTCGAATTTAGCGAAATTTTATATTTTAAAATACTTGTATATCTTGTTTTTAATTAAACAATATAAATATTATATAAAACACAAAATTTATTACATCTTCATTTAGTATAAAGCTTATTGGATATTAATATAATCTGAAATTATGTTACAAAATGATATGATTTGCTTATTTATATGCTGGTATTAAATGTTAAGTTCTATTGTGTTCATATATGCTTATTTTATTGCCTTTTTGTGTAATGTATATGTTTATTCAATGCTTTTTTTCTTAATTGTTTATTTTCTTTTTGATAATATGTTACCTACTCTACTACAATATGAATTATTGTAAATAGTTTCACGTGCAATTATCCAGATCGGATATAAGCGTGTCTTGTTTGCAACTGGTAATAAATAAATAATGTTTATTTAATACGTTATCTGATCTAAGCTTTCTTAGGTTCCAAAATATGTTCACACAGTATCCTTTAATTCCTGCTTAATAAAGGTCGGTAATTTAACATGTAATATAAACATTTTAAATATGTTATGATGCATTAGCGTGCCATCTGTTATGAAAATCCAAATTAAAAAAAAAAGAATCATATGCGTCTATAATAGTTTCGAATATTTAATATATAATAATATAAAATAATTAAGGCTTATTTGGGATTGAAAATTGTTTACTTATAAAACCTCTAATATTTCGATGAGGCAGTTCGCCTATCTTCTTCCTGAATTAAAACCTTGTTAACAAATTATCCATGTACGATTAGCATGGTTTTCTATGAAGCAGATTGGTGTGGTCAAACTCTTCAATCGAAATAATTATTTCTTCTATTATATTATCACACAAAATACTAGTGAAAATATTCTATATACAGTCAACTCTCGATAATTTGAAACTCAAGAGACCAGAGAAAAATTTCAATTTATCAAGAATTCAAAATAACAAGTGTTTAAACAACCAAGATGGGGGGAAGGAGGAAAAATTCAAGTAAACAAATTTTGATCTCAGAATTCATGATTTATTATTTCAAACATTTGTACAGTTATTTACAAATGTTCATTTGTGGTAAGAAGCTATTCCTTTAACTTCAAATTACCGAGGGAACCAATTAATATTGATTTTATTCAACTTATCGAGTATTTTTCAAGGGACAGGAAAAACATTTCAAATTATCGAGAGTTTCATATTAACGAGTTTCATATTATCGAGATTCGACTGTATAATGTATTTCCGTTAATCTGTAGGTAGGATTAGAGTATATATATATTGTAACCAAGTATTTATTCATTTTATTATTTTTATTAACAGAGTGGTCATTTTCATATTTATATTTTTGCTACTCTGTAAATTTCCCTCGTGGCTTATCTTTAATTTACCTTTCATAGTTTGTCCTTGCCTGAAATAAATTTTGTTTCCTCCTGAAGTTTTTGTCTTCCCTAATTTTCCACGTGGCAATATTGTATTTTTAAATTTATGTGTGTGTGCTATTTCTGTCTTCTATAGATGTCCCGCTCTCCAGAAATAATGTTGCGTGTTTATCCTGTATGTTACTGTATGAAACCTTTGTATTTTCGAAATCTGGTATGTTTGATTGTGTACCAGTAATAAATATATCTCAAAATATACAAAAGATAAAAAATAAATTTTAATTTGAGAGTTATTGATATTTGAAAGGTAAATACACTTTTAGATTGTGGCCACCTTCAATTTAAGATATTCTCTATATACCGAAATTATGTAATTTAATTTATGTATAATACACAGAGAAATGATTATAAATTTAATATATTGTAGCGAGTAATTAGTTTTATCATTTTTATGTAAATATTTTAATTTATTTTTAATGCCTGATTTTTGCATAGATGTTTGTTGTATTTTTGATTCCTATATATACTTTGGCGTGTATTCATTAATTCAGATATTTTTCGGTTGTTCTTCTTTTGATCTCGGTTTGTTTGGTTAATAAAATAACCTTCTTCGTTTGCGGATCACCGACTCTACCTTTCTGCTACGCTACAATATATATTTAAAATATATATACGTAGTTATTAATACATACATTCGAAAAGTATTTTTGAAAATGTAATTCTGCTGTCCTCAAAGCTTATGTCCATAGTTAATCTAAAATGTCCATTCCAAGAATCTAGCATCAGTATCACTATAAAAGGAAGATCGAAAAATACAATTTAACAGCGGTATTTTAGATTAAACTGGCGAAACCGATGTGAGGATTCACCACTGATGAGCCAGGCCTTCCCATTAATTTTTCCATTGCAATAAGGACAATAGAAATTGTTTATTTTTAAAAAGTAGCATACGCGTCTATAATAGTTTCAAAATTTGATATTAAAAAGTAATTATATTTAAATACATATATATGATACTGTAAAAACAAATATAATACATTATAAAGGACTGCGGCGTGTGATTATAAGTTACTTTAAGTATTATTTACGAACGGAGAAATAACGTCCAGGGTAGCCTAGTGGACATGGCACCTGCCCGGTAAGCAGAAGGTTGTGGGTTCGATTCCCGCTCCTAGACACTTTTATTTTTCCCGTTCGCCATTACTCTTCATATTTTCACCCTCTCATACTTCATTCAAAAAAGTTAGAAATAGTAAATATTTCTCTTTGAAATAAATATTGATTTTTCGTGGGAAAGAAACTTATGCGGTATAATTTTAAGTATTGTTTAAAAACAAATATATTTCACCTATAAATATTTCCATATGCCTATTAAATAATTACGCATTTTTTCCTATCATAATAGCTACAGAGTTAAAATTCAATGATTATCAAATATAGGTTTTTAACTTTTAATTAGACAATTTTAATTTATATTTAGACATTTTTCATTTTAATTTAGACACTTTCATTTCAATTTAGACACATCGACTTTTCTATAAAAAGGCCATGTGTCTAAATTAAAATGAAAAATGTCTAAATATAAATTAAAATTGTCTAATTAAAAAAGTTAAAAACCTATATATAAATTGATCTAAAATATATATTTAAAATTATAATCTTATATATAATTACTCGATTTCTAAAACCGACCCCCATTGTTTCAAACTATGACGGCAGAAAATTCTTCTTTTAGGGAAAAAATGAAGTTTTTTTTTTATTTTAGGAAATTCTGTCAAGTGGCAAAAGCCGCCAGACTTGCTTGACAACCTCCCGAAATTGTCCATTTTTCTAAAAACATTAATTTTCTATATATATCAAATATCCTATTATTTTTTTTACCCTTCACTCTGAAAAATAGGTTGTTCATCGTAAAATATAACATTTTATAGATTATACAAAATTGTACTTCCATAAATTTATGAATATATATTTTAATAAAAGCTATAGGCCTTTTTATTAATAACAATTTTAAAAATATTATTCGATATTAATTATGTTTAAGAAATTGAGAATTGAGAATATTAATTGTTAAAATTAATAAATGATATATAATTCGATTGAAATATAATGTTTTTTTTTTGTCGCAGTAAGGATAGTAGAGGTTTGTTTTATGTTTAAAAGAAGCATTCAAGCTTAAATGCTTCCATTTCATAAATATAAGTCTTTAATTAAAAAGACATATATTGGATCAAAATATCATTTATTTTACCAATATTTCAGTTGGCTGAACGCTAACCTTTATCAAGGTATTATAACATATTTAATGTGTGTCATTGTGTATTGTTGACACACATTAAATATAACACCTTGATAAAGGTTGCCGTTCAGCCAACTGAAACATTGGTAAAATAAATAATATTTTGATCAAATATATGCCTTTTTAATTAAAGATTTATTTATGGATTTCTCAATTTTCAAAATAAATATAATTATATTTATATAAAATAATTTCTATGTCTGATATTTATAATGCCTATATTCTTTGAGATTTGATATTCAAACGTGATTTTAAATGTGTTAAACGTTATAGGTCTTCATTGGTTTCTAACAAGTTCCATAACTATGCTGATAAAATATAAATGATTTTACATATTGTAAGATAGGTAATATGCAATAATGATGTGTTAATAGATAAAGTTGTTTAATTTATTTCTAAAATACCTAATAACGATTTAATACATTTCTTAAAAAATAAAAACCTCGGCTAGTTAAATTTTTATTTTATCAACGTTTTAACAAAAGATTTTTTTTAATAAATTATTAACTGGCCGAAGTATCTTATTTTTAAAAAATATGAATGCATGCCAGGCAACATCTATCTTCAACATATAATATTTAATAATCAAAAGACTTTTATCTTCTAAAGAACTAGCCAAATATTTCTAGTCATTTTAATAAAATAAAAGGAAACAATAAATGTGTATAAAATATGATTTATTATAAAAGATATAACAAAAACAGAAATTTATGCAATAAAAATATTGATTTTTTCCAGTCGTTTAATTTTCAATATTTTATGGATATTTTTGGAAGGAATATTAAAGCAAGTAAACTTTGAGCAAGCAGAATAATATATACAGAAGAAAAATTTACCAACCCACTCAAAGCGATATTAAAAATAGAAAAGAGATATTTTCAAAATATTAATCATTTTTCGATTTAACACAATATAATGGATTTACAATATTTCTTCACCGAACAAATCAAATTAAAATACCTTTAGAATAATCTTCATGATTGAAATATAGATTTTTTTTTTTAGAATTTGTTTAAAACTTTGTTTTTATGCCTATACTAGGTAATGTCTATATAAACTAAAAATGTATTTAGAAGGTATTTTATATTGAAACAAAAACGGTTTATATTTTTATTTCTTAGAATCAAATTATAAATCATTTTAAGAATTATTTTTACCTATTTTTGATGAGAGTTGAATTATGTATTCTGAAAGATGGTAATAAATTTAGTTAAAAACTCTTTAATTTTATTAATTATTAATGAATTTTGTGTTTTTGTAAGCTATTTGAGATGAGGGTAATAAAAAAAAAACACTTCTGCTGTAAAAAGTGGAGTTTTTTTATCGTCAAAAGTTTTAGTAGAATCAGTATTCAATCCTCTTTAAAGTTTGTCATAAGACAAAAAAGGAGGTCATTCATTATTTTTGTCAACATAATTATTCATTATGGAAATGTTATTACGGAAAAGGCCTAACTAATCACTATATACTTTAAGTTAATATTTATCTTAGCGATTTTAGTAATCAATAAATGTTAAAATTAATTTGTGTGGTTGTATTTTCATTTTAATTCATCTCCCCAATTGTAATATTCTCTCCTAATACAGATTTACCAATGTATATACTAATAAAGACTAAACAACAAATACGACTGGCAACAATGGTAATAGCGCATGCGTAAACCTCATTGAAGGAATATAAAGGTTCTTTGTTTATCGTTCGTGTCAGAATTTGTAAAATGTCGGCTTTTGAAAATAAAATTAAGTATTTCAAATTTTAAAAAATATTTTACTGAGACATTAATATTGTGTTAAGGGAATATTAGGAAGATGAAAAAAACAAGTACATTTCTGGTGCAATAGATTTAAAGATGGCCGTCAGAATATCAAGGATTATCCAAGGTCAGGAAGTCCTTCAATTTGAAGACTGAGCTTAACATCCAGCAGGTTAGTGATTTAATTTATGCTGATAGAAAAATAACTGTTGAAAGGATAACAGAAATAGTTGAAATTTCATATGGTAGCTGAAAAAGCAATATTCATTAACATTTAAACTTGAAAAGACATTTTAGTTGCTTTATTCCACGATATCTAACCCTAACACAAAACAGAACAGATTAGAATTTCCTAGTTTTTCAATTCAAAGAGCAATTAATAACCAATATACAGAGGGTGTTCACACTTATAGGAAACAAGTTTTATTATAAAATATTAAAAATTAACACCATATTTGAAAATTTTCAAATGTTCTATTTGAAAGCCTTTTTGTTTATTTACAGAACGGCACCTGATTTTTCACGATAACAGATACTTTCTGATCATGGTCATACTCAAAAGATCCCATTCTTCCTTTACCACTTTTCAGAGACCTTCAATTGTCCTAGGGTTTCTCTTTCCAAGTGCTCTTTTAAGGCATCCAAAAATGCAAATATCCATCGGGGCTATGTCAGGAGATTTTACAGGGATTCTGTTCTTTGGAATAGTGTTGATTCCTGTTCTTTGCCTTAGATCTTCCAAATAAGCTTGGGTTAAAGATGAGGTATGACTTGTGGCGTTATCATGGTGAAACCAGACTTTGTTGCTCTGTTTTCCATAGATAGAGGGAATATCATTTAAAAATATAGGTTCTAAAATATTGTTTTAATAGTACTCCGAGTTTATTTTGGCATTTCTTTCAACTTCTCTTATTTTTAATTTTCCTTCATATGATATACCGCATGCCACCATAAATCCTTTGGGGTAACTTTCGGCACATTCCTTCAACCAAATTGGCCTAGATTTTTCCACCCTTTTTTGATAGTATATATTTTTCCGTCGCAATCGGTTAAATATACCCATGCTTCGTCATATGTAACAATAAATTTCCATCTATCAGCAGCCAAGAAATTTTCATAAAAATATCTGCTGATAGTGTGTCGCTGACGAATATGGCTCTGAAATAATTTGTGGACCGCATGTTTTTTTTTTGTAGCTTTTAGACCTAAATCTTTATTTATTATTTTATTTGTTGTTGACACTGATGTTCCTATTAATTTGGCTATATCTCTTTGTGGAATAGGATTTTCTTTTGTAATATATTTTTTTACTTTTTTGACAGTTGCAGGAGTTCTCACAGATATAGGGTGATAATCTTTTGTCCATTTCTCCGTAGGTGCTTTGAATAAAAACCTGATATTTTTGTCGTGAATAATATTATAAATACCTTTTTTAGAAATGTTGATATCATCTTGTTTACATATTTAATTATGTCCAAATAGGTAAGATTAGCTCTGGAAAGTGGTAAAGGAAGAATGGGATCTTTTGAGTAAGACCATGATCAGAAAGTGTCTGCCATCGTGGAAAATCAGGTGCCGTTCTGTAAATGAACAAAAAGGCTTTCAAATAGAACATTTGAAAATTTTCAAATATGGTGTTAATTTTTAACATTTTATAATAAAATTTGTTTCCCCCCTATAAGTGTGAACACCCTCTGTATTTAAAAAAAACATCAATAAGTGTAGATTAAAATTGGTGATATCTTTATGATCCCCAAACAAAGAAACAATCACTTGATTAGCAGACTCCGAGTACACCTCGGAAGAAAAGGGTTCGTCTTGATCTATTAAAGGAAATTTGATGCTTATTGCTTTGTTATTTTTATTTTTACTACCAAGGAGCTGTAAATTAGGAGTTTATTCAAGAGGGAACTTCTATCAAAAAAACATCTACAAAGAAATACTTGTGCGCGTTATTGATTCAAAACGAAGGAAAAGGAATCAGCTCTTTCAGTCACAACAATGGAAGTTACTTCATGACAATGCCCCTGCCCATAAATCCACCTTAGTTATGGATTATTTAGCTAACCACTTCTGTGACTGTTTTATCACATCCTCCTTTTTTCCCACACTTCTTCCCCAGTGAT